AAGGAGGTTATGGCTATAGGCCTGTAGTTAGACGGATCTGAGCGGTCGTCTTTTTTAGGAATCGGGTGGACCAAAGCTGTCTTCCATGAATTAGGGACTATGCCTTGGGAGTAGGAGTACTGGAAAAGACGCGTTAAAACCGGTGCCAACTCCGGAGCACACGTCTTCAGCACAATGCGAGGGACTCCATCGGGCCCACTCGACTTGCTGACGTCCAGGGAGAAGAGTGCTTTGCGAACCGAGCGCTGAGTAAACCGCACATCCGGCATGGGGCACTCACATCGCGGGATGGTCGGCGGTGTGTTCCCCTCGTCATCTAGAGTCGAGTTGGACGCAAAAAGAGAGCCCAACAGATCGGCTTTCTCCTTTGCGGCATGGGCCAGTGAGTCGTCCTTCCTGTGCAGAGATGGAAGAGATGGCTGACAGAAGTTTCCTTGGGCAGCCTTGGCGAGAGACCAGAATGCACGTGTTCCCGAAGGAAGGTGAACTAGCTTCTCGCCAATTCTGTCGATGTGCTCAGACCTTGCCTTGGCAATTACGCTTTTGAAAGACCTGTAGGCAGAATTATACTTCTTTTTAAGTGCGCTGGTGTTTACATCCCGAGACGTTGATGCGACAGCCCAGGTCTGGTAGCACTCCTGCTTATAGCGTGATGCTATTTTACAGGAGCAACGAAAACATGGCTGGGATCTGCCTCCGATAGGCACCCCAGAGGATGGAATAAAAAGTTCCATACCCTGAAGTCCAACATCAGCAACAGAATCGGCAACAACGCTGGGATGTTACGGTGAGAAGCAGACCCACGCCCAAGGGTAGGATGAAAAAAAAAGACCGCATCCCGTCCCAATCGGCCGACGGCGGCAAGCTGCAGATCGCAACTGGGATGGGAGCGTGAGTGGCACTGTACTCCGGATCAGACAATGGTCCGAAGAGCCGAGAGGGGCATCGACGGAGACCTGATATCCGGCCGGATGAGAGGTCAGCAAAAGCTGCAACAGGAAAGGTACATGATCTTTCACATCTGGGATCTGCGTAGGCGAAGTAACATGTTGTGTTAGACCATATGTCAAGGCAAAGTCATAGACAGATCTACCCATATGATCGGTTAAACGAGAACCAAGTCATTCAGCGTGGTGGGCGTTAAAATCACTGAGTATCACGATCTCTGCGGATGGGACCTGTAATAGCAAGGAATCGATCGATGAGTCGGTCTGTGTAGAGATTACCGCTATGGGACCTATAGAGGCACCCGTATACGCGGGGATGGTCGTCGCTGTCTACGCGCAGCCATAGGATGGACAGGTCCGTACCTTCAAGATTGTCTGATTGTTTCGGCTAATCTCCAAAACGGCTGGATATATTTTGACTAAACGAGTTACTTAGGCTACTTTATTTCAGAAACAAATTAAGTTCCGTGCATAACTATAAAGCCTATAAAATTCAATGGTAATAAAGTCGCGGTGAACAGCTAGTACTTTATAAAAAGGCATGTGATAAAATATAATAGTGATATTGGCGGACCAAGATCTAACAGCCTTTTTCATGCTGGGTATCATGAGAATCAACTTGGAGATAATTTTTAATATTCGACAGATGACCTTATAACTTTCTTGGATAATATCAGAATGAAATATGTATATCTTTTTCATCTTATTTGATTTGATATTATAGGAATATGATCACAATACTTATTATTCGGCAGCAACCTGCGGCTAGATATGCAAGGTTACAAAGATCTCTCAAGTAACAGCATATAATATGCTTCCTTGGTAAATCAAAATAATTAAAAATTAAAAATGTTGTACAGCTGACTTCAACATAACTTATTAAGAATAACTCAAAAACTATTAGTTTGACCTTGATCAAATTCATATGGAACCACACGAAAAGTAATAGCTTTCAAATAAAAAAAGAATTATCGAAATCGGTTCACCAAGTAAAAAGTTATGAGTTAACACACATAAAAAACATACAGTCGAATTGAGTACCGTCTCCTTTTTGGAAGTCAGCAGATATTTAATAGTTTTAAAAAAACTAAAAAATAACACGCTTTTGTATACAAACGAACTAAAAACTAGAAAATATTTTTTAATAAGTTTAAAATAAGAAAATAGTGTTTAACAAAAAACAATATTTTATTGTAGCAAAGCGTGGGGTGCTTTTTCAAAAATTTTTATAAGCTAATTTTAAAATTGTCCACAAAAAAATTTACAACAAATACCTACAAAAGCGTGTTTCTTTAGTGTTTAAACCTATTATTTACTTTATATTCTTTAGTGCAGCTAACTACAAAAGCGAGTTTTTTTTTGGAACGAAGTTCTTTTACGCGGCTCACAGTAGATTTAACTGGCAGAAATCGTAGTTATTTTTTGAATTATTCGCAAATCCTGAGAATTATGGCAAGGATAATGGGACAACCTATTTAAATTATTGCATTGTCATCGGTCCTTGATAAGTGTGCGAAGTTTTAAATCAACCGGATAAAAATTACATTCAAAAATTCCGTTGCATAGATACATACCAAGTTAATTAAAGCTTGTTAATAATAAAACACATCTCATTATGTTTCCGTCTTGTAAAACTTTGCGTAACGTAATTTAAACGTTGAACGTAATATACTCCTTATTAATGTGTGTGAATTGAAGATATATGTTTTATTTCTTCCAATTTCAATAATATTTTTTTACAGTTGAAGTTACATATAGACTATATTATATATTCTATTACTAAGCACAGGTTTTCTGATTATTTTGATTGAGTTTTTTTGGGCAGGGATGATATTATATATGGGTAGGTAGGATAATGATTTCTTATATTTACGAAAACACTACACATTTTATCGCGTATATCTGGAAGTAGCCATGGTTAACTATATATTGGGACGTCAAACACCTCAGTCCCCCGTGACCATGGGTGCTGTAAAGTGCTGGAAAAGTTAGGAATACTTATAATATAAGTTGATATTCGCGATAAAATCCGTAAAAACTAGTTTTATTTAAAGGTATGCAGGATGTTAACCTAGGATGTTGCCTACCCTTCGATACTCGTACTGTGGCAATAATACAATATCATAATGTTACATTGAGCATTAAACCTTATTCTGTATAGTGTGTAATAATGTGTTTATAAAATAATGTCAATTTATTTTATTAAAACTTTATTAAAACTTTTCTAAAAGGTTAAATATTCTAACCGAATACATATAAAAAATTAAATTGAAAACCTTTTCTGTTAATGACAACTTCGCTATTACGTTTATGGTTTTACATTGTGAAGTGGAGCCCTTTTAAGGCGGCTCTCCAGGTTGGCCAACATAGTGGCGAATGTGTTGGCCATACCCGATGGCCATCATGTAGACGTTTGTGCTTCACTTGGTATGTATTGGAAATTGGCTCACAAGTTGACGTGAGATCCGTGTGGTATCGGCTTTTTACTAAAGATCAAAGGATGTTTCAGAGTATTGGCCATCCGGTCTACACGTTTTGTGCACGTTTAGTTTGCTACAAGCTCCCAGAGTGATCGCACGCACCTGGTTTAAATTTAATATTCCCGAATCGTAATTAGTATCTACAAAATGGTAGTAACAATGACCAATGAAGAAACTTTTTGCTTTATAGAGCTCTACCAAGCCGAAAATTATTTGTGGAACACAAGAAATAATTTTTTTTCCATTTCTTTTTGATGACCTTTTTCTTATACACACTCACGTAGTTGCGGTATGCTGTGAATAAATAAGCCGCAGCAGCCGTTAGCATCTCAATATCCATTTTAATAAATTCGTCCGTACATTGGCCTTAACCAAAGCAAACTGAACGACCTTACAACGTGTGGATGCCATAACAGACTCTTGGCTCATATCTTTGCCAACACATTCAATACTATGTTGGCCAGTATGAAGAGCCGCCTTTAAAGATAGCCAATTTCCTTTATACCGACGAAACAATCCGAGTACATCTGCGTTGTACACGAGTTTTAAGTCTGCGTATATTAAACCTATCATATGCAACGTTTCTATTTGGATGATGTTGCAAAAAGTATGATAATTTCAAAAACAGTTTAATATTAACGAGCGATGGACGGGAAAAAACGGTTTAATTTCGTAATCCATCATATTATTTGATTAGGGACAACTTTGATTTTTGTGTAGTTAGCAGGGACCACAAGGTGAAAGAAAAAGACAAAGTTTTACCGCAATCTGACGAATGGTAATGCATAACATACGAACAAAAATATTCATTTATATATATATATTAGATATGCGGCCTTAATATGTCCATACATTTCATTAATTACAGTCTGCCAAATAAAACCTTAGCATTAGTTCTTGGGCCAAGTTATAAGAGTAAATTAAATAAAATCTTTTTATAAAATATTTAAATAAAGGCTTCAATAAACTTTTAATGGAACTAATTTTTAACGTATTTCGTTGCTTTTTTTCTATTCTAAGCCAGCATTTGACAGTAGGGATAGTAATCCCACTATATGGTAAGCTGTGATGCAGCTGAAATGTTGAAGCGTACTGCTTTTTGACGTCTCAATGTCATAGTTAGCCAGGTTACCTTCAGAGCTTACAAGTAAGAAAGACAACACTCGCAATCCAGCTTGTACACTACACACTTGTAGAGTGATATGACACTTGACGGATGTTAAAATTTACTAGTCTTCTTCGGCAGCTTGTAGTATGTTTTAATTAAAGCTCGTTTCAAGGTGTACCCAATGGACTGATACTTTATGGAATGCAGATTAATGAAACAATTCAGCAGTGGGATATTTATAGTCCGTTTATTGTCGTATAAAAGATCTTCAAAACAACTCGTGACAATAAAAAGTTGTAGTTTCCAACCCGCCTGCCTAGCGTGGCAACTATGACAAATATGTATATGTTGTTAGCATTTCGAATGACTAACACATCTAGGAAAGCTAAAGACTTTTTTGTCTCAACTTCATAGTAAATTGAATTTTAGAGTTTATGGAATTAAGATATTCTAAAAATGCAGTTATTATTCTGATGGTAAAATTGTGAAATTATCATCTATGTACCGCTTGTAGAACTTTGGAGTTACAGGTGCAGTACGTAGGGCTTTCTCCTCAAAGTCATCCATGAAAATATCGGCGACAATGGGAGATACGAGTAAGCCCATCACAATATCATCTACTTGCTTGTAAAAATCTTCCTTCCACAATGGATTACCAGATGTAAGGCAATGTCTAAGTAATACTGAATATTCTGCCGGTATGTTGTTTTCCTCTAGTTTTCTAGTTACAATTGAGATGCATTCTTCAACAGGCAGGTATGTAAATACAGACTGAACATCAAAACTAACCATCGTTTCATTGTCAATAAAACATAGGTCTTTTTAACATTATTCTGTTTACAATTTTATGACTTTTTTAATACAGAATATTCATTATACTTAAATAATAAATATTGTTTCTTAAAATATATCTATATTTTACTGCGCCAAATTCCCATCACTTCACTGTACAGAATAAATGCCATTTTAAAAATAAAAAAATCGTTTTAACATTAAATCTTCAAAGCAATAAACTATGTGTGCTTGAAAAAACGAGTAAAATTAAATATTTTATTGACGTTCCATAAATTAATCGGGGCTTTCAATTAATGCTATTCGTAAACCTGCTTTCAATAACGGCTAAGCTTTCTCACGGTAATTTGCTATAACTTAACTTTTACGAACACAAATGAGTTAACTGCTAAGACTTCCCGATACAATTTTAATTAAATCAAAACAATAAAAATTTTGATAAAAAACTAAATAGACTTCAAAAAATACAAACACTTTTTACACGGTAGAGCCACTCTGCAGCTATACGCGGTGACAGTTTCTTTAGGAACTTCACTGACTTATCATTATAACTAGTCATTATGTTTATCATTAGTCTATATATAACATATACCTATTATATACTATATGATAGGTATATATTATATATATACCTATTATTAGTATTATATATATATACATATTTATATATATATATATATATATATATATATATATATATATATATACCAGCGTAAAATAGCAGCTTCATGCTGCTGTGTTTCGTATGGCGAGTAGTAGTGTAGTATAAAACCCTGTGTAGTATAAACCTTTCAGAAAAAGGATTTCCCTTTTTCTGAAAAATATGCATTCCATCTTAGTCCTCAGAGGTGAAACGCATCTGGATTTTGATTATTTATCGAGTGTATAAGTATTGTATTAGTATACGTACACGGGCCACTGGACCCACTTACCATCAGGTGGGCTGGGTGCTAGTTTGTTACTTTTATTTTTCATAAAAATTGTAAAGAATGAAACGTATGGAAAACACATTATAGTTTTGGAATTCGGAGCTTTAATCCTTCTGTACACTATGTTTTCAGAACTATTATGGGAGAAATTATGATTCTATTTTTTAAGTTTTTTTACTTCTAAGTAAAGTTTGATTTTATAACTAATATTATATATATATATATATATATATATATATATAATATTGAGAGAACGTTTTAATACCTATAAAATTCTCTCTATGAATATCATATTTATTGTAAATTTTATATAATCCTTAAGTAGGTACCTACTTGGTTGCCGTCGTGTCACTAATTGAAATGAAAACTTCTGTAGAAACTTGATCTAACTAAAAACGAAACAAAAAAAAAAACAAATATTTAAATCTATAGGATTTATCCTCCGAGAGAATAAGATTGAATACAGTGTAATATAAAGTTTCCTATTTTCTGTAATATAATGCAACGTAAAATAAAATTTGTAAACTTGTTAACAATATTATACTAAAAAACCCTACAATATCCTTCTCCTGATACTCTTCGTTCGTTTCATTCACTTCAAGTTTAGTTTTCTGACGGTTTCACTTCGACCGCATGTGAACGTTATGTTATACATGTAATTTTATTCTTTATATTATAAAAGAATAAAGTTACGGCCTATATACATCCTAACCCGGCTTTATCGTTTCTGGGCAGATGATGTAGTAGCCTGCAGAGCGTGTGGATGGACTTCGTATGCCCGGAAATGTTTTTTTTTTATTTCTCACGGCTTCTGCTTACTGTTTTATCTCCTTCTCTTACCACCAAGCACTTGATAAAAGAACTAAAATTCTAAATTACAATTTAATTGATGTAAACTTGCATTGCGTACTGTGATTTTTTTACTTATTATAAGTAAGTGCTTGACTAAAAACTCACCTTGTGGTAAGTTATATTGAAGCCTTTTTTATGCCTTTATGAAACTCCACTGCTGAGTATAGGCCTCCTCAAAGAATGCCTCATTTGGAGGACATTTGTCATAGTTGCCACGCTTAGCAAATGGGTTGGCAACCGCAGGTTTTTTTAGTTGCTCTCCTGGTATGTTTCCCTCTGTCACCTCTTACTCTTACTCTTGCCCACGGGACGATATGGAGTAGGGGATATTATTACATTAAACAACCGTGTATAACCATATATAAATATCTCGAAACTACATTAGCTTGTTACTACAGTGACTATTCACTAAGCAAATAAAGTATGTAACGTGTGAATCCCATTCGTTACTATCGCAAGAAAATTTACGATGGGTATTGACGGTTTCCAATATCGCATAGTCACGTTTTTGGCAGCCGGTGCCTTTCGCGTGCTAAGTTCTGTAGCCCAACTAACGAACTGTCGAGGCTGCCCAAACGCGATAGTTAACTGCCACTGGAGATTTACTATTATTGTTATTCTTACCTTATATTTTTTTTATAAAAAACGTAACTTACTCACTAGGATTTTTTCCTGTATCGTGGAGGTTGTTCACATACATAAATTGCACAATGACAAACATTCAGACCCGGAACAAATACTTGTAGGCCATACATATGCTCGTTGCATGTGGGATTCAAGCTCGCGGCCCTTAGTGGCTTAACTAATAGTAATATTTACTTATCTACCCTCATGGAATAATAGTTTTATGTGTCTAGTTAAATACAAAGATTTTTTGTACATTGAAGTCTTTGCGAAGTGTACGGACAAACCCCACTAGGTTTTGTTAAACTGTTAAAGGAAATTTTAATATGAAATTAAATATAATATTTATTTATTTCAAGGAATAAAATATACTTTTTGAATAAATAAATTTACACATATAAATAATATTGAAGTAAATTGAAGTTACTGTATACTATAGATAACTTCTTTTACCTTTGGGGGATAGTTTGCATGCAATTAAGACATAAACAATAATTCTTAAATTTTTGTCTTAAATCTTCGGAACAGGTGAACCGATTAATGAAACTTTATGTACGCATAGAGAGTAATGCGAGGAGGGATCCAGTCTATATACTTAATATATACTTCATCAGATTATTTTGATGATTATTTAAACCAAAAAGTTGATTAATGTTAAAATGGTTTTTGATTATCTTTAATGTTATTTAACACCATATTAATTGATCATATCCACGCGAAGCAGGGGCGGGTTGCTAGTAAAAATAAAATCATATCAGCAACAGTAGGTTACAGTGCGGCAAACTTGTAACCACATTTCGCCTTTAGCTGTATAACCATTTCATTCCATCTATTGCAGCCAATAATAGTCCATTTTGAACATTGCCCTTTCCCATAGATTGCCTAATAGGGGGGATTTTGCCATAGTTGCCTCGCTTGGCATGCGGGTTTGTAACCACTGTTTTTTATTTCATTTACTTATTATCAGGAAGATGCTGTCGCCCATCTCCTGTTCCAGTTTCCCTTTGTAGCCTCTTACGACACATACGGGACGATGTAACGTAGTGGATATTCTAACAGAGCCGTAAATGTGGCGAATTTTCAGGTACTGTTTACAATTATTTTCCGGACCAAAACTTTAAAGACGTGATCGTGCTATCCAGTTTTGAATATCAGATTATGTGGTACAATATTGACAATAAAACTTGCCAAAAAATGCTACAGTATATTTGTATGCCTTACAACTTCCAATTTCTTTCCAACAAAGTCATTTAAATTTACGTAAGCGAGCACAGTTCTATCTGCCCCCTCAATAACTCTCACCTTTTATTTCAAACCAAAATTCAAATTACTTTCTCCCTTTTTTATTAGAAAAGTTAAGCAATATCAAATATGTTACTTACAAATCCTATAATATGGACAATTCGGTATTGCTGTGGGTTTAATACGGAAGGAATTTACATTACGTTATATAACGTACTATCAGAAGTTGTTATGTTAAACTGAGAGAACTGAAGTCAACATTGATTCCCTCATAGGGGGATATTTCCCATAGTTGCCACGTTTGGAAGGTAAGAAAGAAATTCAATATAATAAAACTTAAACTTCTTTGTTAGTATTTTTGTACGTTATTGTAGCTCTACAGCGTGACGTTAAAAAGATACTATTGTTGAATTTCAATCTTTCTAGAGAATTCTAGATAATTTACCTATAATAACTACACTGATCAGGCGGATTAATGTCATCAGTTGTAAGAATCCATGAAAAGGAAATCATAAATAAAATTAAAACCTCCAAAAAAATATTCGTACTAAATATTTTTCGTTAGTTTGTCTAGTTGAATCTTTTTATCAAGTTTTTTTTTGAACTTGCGACAGTTAAAAGTACATTAATAGGAAAAAAAATCGTGTGTGTGTGTGTACTTATGTACGCACGTAAAAAGTTATACTTCTTTAGCGTAACAAAACAAAATTAACTAATATAAAACACGTTTTATAGATTCATATATATTTTAATAACTACCTTGAATATAGTTATCAGTTCTCACGAAAACTTGACAGTTGACAGACAGTTAGCAATTTTATGTTATATTATTTGCTATGGTTTGGATAAGTAATAATGTAATATTGTTCGCGCCAAACACTTTCAAGGATTGACGCTAGAGGGCGCTCGGCGCGGTGCATTCATACCGGTCATTCGGTCGTGCGAAAAACGCCCAAGGGCAGTCAGTCACCTGTCAGCCGTGTTTGGAACGGCACGCTGACATTTGTCCGGAACTCGGAATACTTCGGCGCGGCCAGTAAATATACGGTCTAGCATTGTGACGCGCATTCCTACTGGAGAGCTTCCCAGGGACTCATTCTGACTGACTCAGAATCTGCATAAGTGCATTCGGCAATCTTAGCTAGTGCGGCCTCTGATATTCTAGAACTAACTGTTGCTACGCGAAACGGTAGTGACCTTTGATCGAGAAACTCCCGTGTGCGTTTTGTGCGTTAACCTTATACCCAGCGATAGTTAGTGGCTTCCGTAAGTTAGTTAATCGTACGATAGTGTTAATTGACTGTCATCGTGACGAAAGAGGAAAGTGACTGTCGAACACCTCTCAAGGCCCCC